CGCTTTTGAAATTGTATTTTTTTTTACTCAAGGATTAGTCTAACGTTTTGAAACATAATATTTAAGATGACTCGTAATTTGATTGAACTCTGACTGACTTAGTTCAAATTCATGATGACTAGTTCAAATTCATGATGACTAGTTCATGATGAATAATTTGACTGATTAGTTCAAATTCATGATGAGCTCACATAAAATTCAAATCTCAAAAGTATTTATCTCATAGGTAAATATGTTTTTCTTTGAATATAATATTTATTTAGAACAAGCGAGTTTTGAAATGCATTATAAAGTTAATTATTCACGCTGTTTAATATCTTTGTTTAACAAATTGTTGATGCAAGTGAGGATCATATCAGGTTGATTGGTTATGTTTATTTTTACATAAAATTTTGGTAGTTTATGTGGTGCAATTAAATTTATTCGGAATTGTCATACAATGTTGTTTGGTAAAATGCATATAATGCTTAGTAAATTGGTTTCTTGTTTAAAATAAGAAGCATGTAAAATATGTTTGTATTATTCATTTTCAGTGTAGCAGTGAACCGTCTCACAGGTGATTTTATTGTCACTGAGCGTTCTCCCACGCATCAAATACAAATTTACAATCAGTACGGACAGTTCCTACGAAAATTTGGTGCAAATATATTGCAGCACCCACGTGGTGTTTGTGTTGATAGCAAAGGACGAATAATTGTTATTGAATGTAAAGTGAGTAATAATCAAATATTTGTTGATAAATGATCACTTGCAGATGGATGTGTTAAATGAGGTGCTAGATTATTTACTAGAAATGCCTGAATACTTTTTATAATTTTTATCAAAATTAATCATTATTTAATAAATAGCGCAAATTTAATTTTGATATTATAGGTTATGCGAGTGATAATATTCGACATGTTTGGAAACATTTTACAAAAATTTAGTTGCTCGCGTTATTTAGAATTCCCAAATGGAGTTTGCACAAACCACAAACAAGAAATTTTGATTTCGGACAATCGAGCGCACTGTATAAAGGTTTGCTAGTGATATGATATGATATGATATGATATGATATGATATGATTAGTGCTGTGTTACTGAGAATTTATCTTGTTATATTTATGCAAAAATTGAAAAGAAAATCCTCTTATATTGATAAGTCTTTTGGTGATTTTTTCGAATTTAATTTGCTCTATAGTAGAGTAGTAAAATATAGAATTATTTTACTCAAAGAGCAAAATTAATATATGTTAGAATTTGGAAAATATCTAATTTGTTTTTAAAGAGTAGTATTTGTATTACAAATTTGCTTGCTTTTGTAGATACGAGGTGTTACTGATAACTGTCTAATATTCTTGTAGGTATTCAGTTACGATGGGCAATTTATTCGACAAATTGGTGGGGAAGGAGTAACAAACTATCCAATTGGTGTGGGAATTAATTATGCTGGTGATGTTGTTGTGGCAGATAACCATAATAATTTTAATCTTACCGTCTTCAGTCAGGTATGTTAAATGTTATTAGCTAATTTTGTATTAAATGTTTTTTTACAACTTATATTTTAATTATTATTGACTTGCTAAGAATATTGTAAGAACGAATATTCGATATTTTTTGTTACTTTCATCTGTTTTTATTGATTAAAAAATTGGAAATAATTAACAAAACAAAAGTGTTGATATTTATTTAAAAATTTTTATGCTTAATTTTTTATTTTGGAAATAAATATCAATAATATCATAGAAAGTAATCAATAAAAATGGTAAAAGTGATACTTTAGGATGGCACTATGATCTCAGCACTTGAGAGCAAAGTTAAGCACGCGCAGTGTTTCGACGTAGCACTTGTTGAGGACGGTTCTGTTGTGCTTGCAAGTAAAGATTATCGCCTTTATTTGTATCGTTACCAGTCGTCGGGGACAGCAACGGTGGCAACGACGACAACCACAAACAGCCCGAATTAACCGCACCTTCGAATAGAATGACGAGTAACGAAACAATTGTTATATTTAATGTCAAAGGAAAGTGTTTTTCGGAAAAATTAAAAATGCTTCATCATTTTTTATAATTTTGAGAATTTTTGCGATTTGTATACATCACATTATATACATATATATATATATATATATATATATATA